CAGTTTGTATTGCAGCATTCTCATTCTGTATTTACTGTTGACAGATTTTGAGTTCTTAAAGTCCTCCTCACTTCCCCTCCTCTCCAATATCTCTTCACGTTTTGATATATTACTTATTTGTATTAAACATTTGCCTGACAGGAATTCTTAAATACCCCAGTGTAGAGACCTTAGTTATAAAAGATGGAGTTTAAAAGATGGTGTCTGGTCTGACTGTATAATCTAATTAGTAGAATGAATGAATGAAGTGGGCATGAATGAAAAGTAACATTCAGAAGTATCTGGTTAAAAGTCTTTTTTGCACATTACTGAGATTCAGCCCTCTTGTGACATTACAGTTCCACTAGCTGTCTAGTCATGCATTATGTTCCCAAATAGACAGAATGTGAAGTTACAATTCAACATACGAAAAAATGTATACATGAACAAAAAGAAGGATTTTTGTATGATATGAAGAAGAAAAAGGGAGACAAAGTAAAATTTGTGAAACAGTGAACAAAATGTAAATACTGTCATAACGAGTATTTATATATCAGCATGAATGCTGTGGATATAATGGAAAAAATGTAATCCTAACTTCCAGTGTACTTTCCAGCGTTTACTTGTTATGGGTATTCTCATTTGTATTTAACAGCCCTCCATAACAAGCTCTTTAAATCCGTAAACCCATCAGCAATTTGTTTTTACAGGTTAATATACTTACAAATGATTTTGTAGTAGAATATCCCTATCAGAGGGCAGATTTATTAACACTCCTTCTTCTCCTCTGATTTTTCCTTTGAAACTCAACTATATGTATATAATTTGCCTCTTTTACAGTGAGCCGTTAGTTTGGAGAGGTCTGCTTTGCCTTGTGGTTAAACTCTGAGCCACCTGAGTGTCTCCAGAGGTACACCACAGCATGGGCATTTTAAGAACTGAAACACTATGTATTTGGTTTTTGTATGCTTAATGCAGAACTAAAGAGGTCAAGACCAAGAACCCTTTACATTACATAACGTTTTAGGTTCGTCTTTTCTGGAGAGTAGTATTTACCATGTTTGCCTTATCCCCTTACAACTGTCAGTCACTGGTGGTCTGTCCTCAGAATCAGAGGCTCGCTTGCACTCATCATATCTAAAATGGAACACTTTTTTCCATGCATATATTTGACAATACAATCAATTACTAATTCAAAAATTTTTAATTCTGATGGCACCCATCCAGTGCTCTAGGCAGCTATACTATGAATTGAGATGTGTAACACAAATGGAAATCGAGGGCATTTTACTCACAGCGAATACATTCTGTCTGTTCCCAGCATGTCCGTCAGTGTGTTAGATTTAGATAGTAGTGGCTGATTGAGGCTAAAAGGAGGGCAGATCTGGTCTGACCAAAAAACCTGTAATTCATTGATAATTTCTCTTTTCTCCTTATGGAAGTACTGGGAAGTGTTGTGATTCCATTTACTGCCAGCACCACATGCTGTTTGGCAGCGAATCTTCTCCATTGAACCTTGGTTTCAAGTGCTGTGACTCAGAGGGCTTCTTTCAAGGCCAGGATCAGATCTACAGGTCCTGTCTAATGCTGTGGTTCAGGTATGGGTGTGAGCTTGTGCTTTGCTTGAGTCTTCTGAGGAGCTTTGCTGAGATCTTTTAAGCCATAGTGATCACAGTGTTGTTAAGTAGTCAGCAGGAACAAAGTCACATTCCAAACGTAATTTGCTCCTTTGAGGAGCACAGCAGTGACTATTTAAAAGCAAAAGGTCAAAAACTGATTTCTTGGTGGGGTTCTGATTCCTAATAATATTCTTCAGCACTAACTTTAAGGTGAACTATGCTAATATGTCAAAGACATGGATGTGACTAACCACTGAAATGACCTCAGCAGATAAAGCCTGTATATACTTTGTCTCCTTCGAGAAAGAATATTGCAGTATTTAGTAATATTATACAATTGCCTTGCACCTTCTGTGTGAGGATCTTGTCATGACAGTAATTTGGAGCTAGAGAGCATTATTGGCCCTAACTTACACGTGAAGGAACTGAGGCACAGATATAGATTTTAAAGATGCTATTTTTCAGATCTAATGGGTTATGACTAGGGGCTTGGCTAGTTAGTCAAGAGTTAGATGAGGTGGGAACTGTGTCTGGTCTCATGTCAAGGGCTTATCCCATGCACTGGGTCACATAATGGGTCTTGGATACCTCAACTGAACACTTATTAATGCACTGTCTTAATATCGTCACCTGCAGACCATCTCAATTAATTTGCAATCAAGAAGAAACAACACAGTGGGAACAGAAACACTGTCTAAACAAACAGGCGATAAGGAGGCCATGTGATGCATGAGCTGGGCTGCAGTAACCTGCACGTAAAGCCTCTCAGCAGGGGAACTACATACACCACTCTTGTGTAGTGGCAGCTAGATTGCTTCTGTCCTGGAGCTTGCTCATTTGCAATATAATGTCCCTAAAGAAAGCAAATCAGACATAGTTTGTTATGTTGTTATTCTTTTTTAATATTATGAAGCGGTTCATAAATCTTATCAACCTTACCTAACTACGCTGTAAATATTTTCATTGGGGCACTATGCTAATTTAAGTGGTGGAGAGTAAGTAGATACAGCAAAGCTTAGAAGTCTTAGGCAATGTTGAAATGGATTTGTAGGTTCCTGTAAACTTGAATATTCATTCTTATAAAAGATCACATTTTCCGAAGGTAAAGAAACAGTTAGGAGCACAAAAATATGCATGCTTGTATGGATTAGCGTAGTTAGTTCAGTACACAAGCAAATGCACATTTTGGCACCTAATTACCCTTTCTGAAGTGTAGTTACGCAATATATCCACCCACTTGCTATAAACCTGAATGAAGATGTAAGCTGCATATATGTTGTTTACATTGCAAATCTCTGCCTCTTTTAGAAAATCCAACTTTCACCCGCTTCATATGAGCAGCTCGCAGGATTTGAAGAATTCATTTTAACAGAAAGCAGATGGTTTCAGAAAGCTGAAATGAAGAAGGGAAAGGAAGAAGTTTTAAGTTTAGAACTAATGCGTATAACATTAAGTTAAAACTATCATGATAGATTTTCGTTTTTAAAGAACAGAGATTATAACAATTACTCTTTTGTACTGGCTTTCAGAAAAAAAAATGCAACAGATGCTTTTAAAGAAACTAGACCTTTATTTTTTCATCTAGGAAATGTTCAACAATAAATTGCAGAGTGCAGATTAGCGCCCCTTCTTTAATCGTTTCTATCTGGTTAGGAGGTGTTTGTTGGCAATGCCTAACTTCTTTGGGGTCCCGCTCCTTTCTGCTTGCAAAACCCCACATTTCCTCACTGTGCAAGACACTAGGAACTTTAGTCCTGGCACTGTGGTGAAAGAAGACATTTCTCCAGGACAAGGGAATGTAAACTCTTTTCCAGTGCCAGCGGGAGAGGGGTATCTTTCTAACCTGCTCTGTTCAGCCTCTCTCTCCAAAAATATACGCTATCCCGGGCTCTGTGGATTAGGGGAACCTTAAAAAGTCTTTTACTGTCCTATTGCAAACAAAGCCCAACAGCCTGTTTTAAGTTAGCAGGAAGAGTAATTTCCTATTGTAGCACCAATATTTATTTATTAAAATGAGAGGACAAGACTTAAATTTGCCACAAAATGTTCAATACTGTGTAGTATTTCTAGGAGGACTGTGTTTTCTGTGGGTTTTTTTTGCCTCGGGGGAACACTTTTTTATGCACATGGTGAGGCTCAATAGTCTGGCAGAGGCAGCACTTAGAACTGCTTTGCTTGATACTGTGCATCTGTCTTTGTTGTGATGGTATCTGTAGCAAAGTTTATAGAAAAGAAATAGTGAAGATGTCTCTGGACTCCGTTTTTTCAGTGTTGCTGTATTTAGGTTTTCCAAAAGGTTGTGATTAATGGTAGTGTGAGATAAAACACTAACCCTTTTTAGCCCTGCCCATTCTTAAGGATAGACTGATGAAAATTTTCCAGGGAAACATTTTCTCTAACTACTGTGAGAATGAATTACTGCTTGCTGTCTCCACATAGATATGTAATTCTTTCAGTTATGTGTGAGAGGGGTCATGTGAGCTTTATTAATTGTTGATATTTGGTCAAAATAACTTGACCAAATATCAACAGTCAAGCGGACTTGATACCAGTCAAGAATTACTGGTATCATCACAGGAACTGGAGACAATCTGAGTATTAATATAATACGTATTGTTTCTGTTTAGTAATTCCACTAGGCCACTGCTTTCATTATAGTTGTAATTGCAAGTTCATCTTTAGATAGCAGATACTGAGCATGGTTGGTGTATCTTGTCCTTTCCACCTTCTTTTCTACGAAGATGGGTTTCCAGTGGCTAACTGATGGTGGTGTTTCTGCCTGTGCTGTATGGAGATCCACAGTGGTGCCTCAGCTTCCCAGGAGAAGAATTTTGCAGAGAAGGATTCTAAAAATTACAGTGATAGGAGAGTCTTAAGGGCTCACATAGGTGGGGAACTGACTATAAAAGGTTTTGCTCTTCAGTGTTGGCTCATGAGTAGGTCATTGTTTTAAGAATACTCCATTATGGAAGTTTTTTCTTTTATTCATCTATAGAAAGTGGCTGTTTGCTAACCATTTTTGGTTCTCAGTATGAGACAAGCAATTGGGCAGTTGTCGAGCGGCAGTAGCAGAAGCATCATTATTGCATGTCTCTATAAATGTTGCTATTTGGTATTCTTATTAAGAGGAAAATATGAATCTATCTGTTCTGTATCTTTCTATATACCATATATAGAGATATACATACATATATATATATGTATATATATAGCTATGTATTCAGGAAAGGGCAAGCTATCCACATGGCTTATTAAAACATTTGGCATTAACAACTTCTGTTGCTTTTATTCTTCCTAGGTTATTTACAGTACTGTGATAACACAGTTTATTTAAGTTTTGGTTATACATAGGAAAACAAAATCGTTTCCTCAATGGATTTTTTTTTTCAAATTCTCTACAAATCTACCCTAGTGCTATTCATATGCCTGTTTAGAATTTTGTACCTAAATCTATTCTACAGTTTATGAGGACACCAAGTCAGTTCAGTTCCAGAACCTGATGAAGTCATGGACTGGAATAGATCCGCTTGCTGGGGAATGTGGGAAGTCATAGCATTAGTATAGAAAGCAAAGCACAGGATTAGTCCTGCAGTAGTGTAGGACTATACCTAGTGATTGAATTTTCAGTGGTAAGAACAATGCCTTAATTATATGATGTGGCTTTGGCTTTTAGTAGTACTCAAGAGTTGCTTTGAGTCGGTTCCTATTGAAATCACAGCTAATATCAGTTCAGCCCTGCTTGTGTGGTTAGGTGGTTAACTTTCTGTCTAGATGCTTTCTAGTTCTTGAGTGCCCACATGGAGAATTAGTCAGGAATAACCATTCTGTTTGCAATTGGTAGCCTAACTTTTCAAACTGACTGTGCACAGGCAAGTCTTGAAACCTCTTCAAAACAGCAGCAGTTAGCACTGGCTTGTGCTGCAGGCAGTACAGATCCTACCTGGCCTGAAGGAAATGCTGGAAAAGTCATTATCTGGATTGCTCAGATTCCAAGGGTAAAATCCTCACTAGACTGAACTCTTCCTTCTTGTGCTTTGGAGCATCTCATGTCCTTGGATTTGCTAGGAAAGGAACAGTTGCTTTGTTCCTATTGTATGTCAACCTGGGTTACAATTTTTTTTGTGATTAGCATAAATGGTAATCCATTATTTGCAGTGTACCTTAGCTGAGGTTCATCTGACTATGTCTGATGAACTTCATCCCTTCATGAGGGAAGGGGGCACTAAGGCATGATTCATTTCTTTTTAAATAAGTCTCAGATAGACTAGGCAAATTACACCTTAAAAGTGCAAAGCTTAAAAGATGGCTAAGCCAGAGGCCAACCCAGAGGCTGTCGCCCCCAAGCCGGGCAGAATGAATGAGGCATCAGGTAGACCCCTTGCGTGCCTTGGCCAGAAAAAGCCACAGCATCTAGCCAGAGCTATATTGCTGCTGTTACTCTTCAGAGCTCGCTGTTCTAATATCATGTGTGCACAGTGTTTCAAATTGGATGAAAAGTAGTCTGAGAATCTGATATGCAATGAATTTTGTAAACAGTTTTCTGTTTTTCTAGGCTCTCCTGAGGACAGAACTCATTCTGTGTGAATGTCTAAAGTACAATTGCTTCTTGATTTGTAACAGCTGCCACAAAGAAAGGAGTCTTTTGCATTAACGATTCTGGGCAGTCAGATTTGAAACTCTAGGATGCTACATGCTCTCTTCTTGGTTTTCTCAGCAGACCAGGGAATTGAAAAAAGATTTGGATACATGTAGTATGTTGTGCAAACCAATGAGGTTTGATCGGGGGACGCAACAACTACATGAAGACTAGGAATCTAATTTGGAGTCTTGAAGTTACGAGACAGCTCGAATGAGGAAAGAGATTACATTTAAAATTTGGTTTACTGGTGCAAACAAGTATCATAAAGAGTTTCTTAGATGGTCAGTAGAGGGCAGGCATATTTTATTTCTGAAGAACCTTTGCCCACTGCTGTGTGCAA